TTAATGAGGCTCAGAGGGGGCATGAGTGCAATTAAATTCATGTGGAGATTAATGTTTTAAATATAAAATTTAGGGATGTAACAATTACCGGTTTGACGATAAATCGTGATACAATACCCCACGGTTAGTATTACCGTTTCATATTTTAATTATCACTATAACCGTATTCGATTACCGCGGTTTGAACAACTGAGGATAAATAAATACTGTCCAGCACAGGGCTCCAGACTGCGACCAAATGGGTGCCTTTTGCGATAATTTTTTCTGCCGGTGCGACTAAATTTTGTGAGCGGTCGCACTGGCGCAACCACCGCATTGTTTAACTCATAAGCGCTGCCATATCTGTTGCATATGTGAAACATCAAACGGCAAACGAAACTGAAAGCATAACGAAACCGCGCTACTCGTTTGAACTGCAGCGCTTGAGTGTAGAGCCTGGTTTATACTCGCCGCGTCAGCGCGAACGCGAAGCTGCGTGCAGCAAAAATAACGCGAATATTGAGGAAACGATGGATGGTTTTCATGCTAAAGTAAAGTAAAAGACCGCTTCATAAATCAAAGGTGAACATGTTGGTATTCTTGTGGGGGAAAAAACATGCAAGCACTGTCACCGACAGCAAGTTTAGTTTTACTTTTCTTTTTGTTTTCATTTTGAAAAGCTTGTTATCTTTGCTGTTTACCTCACGTTATGCTATGGAGGCTCTCTTTTTTATTTATTTGATTCCTCAGTGTTTGCTAAACGTTCTGTAATTTAGTAGTCGGTATATAATACAGCATGTGGTGTATGCCATGCCTCGTCTTGCAAGCTAGTTTGTCATTGTATCTTACAGTTTTATTGTTGTTATGCTTTTTAATTAAGAATAACAATGAATCCATCTTTTGTTTTAGTCTTAAAAAGTGAAATATGTATAGATGTATGTAAGCAAGTCAGACAATTATCTTTTCTTGTAAAACGTGACAACAAGATCGCGAATTCGTAAGTGAAAGCACCTGAAGCCCGGCTTATAACATAGCCTAGCAAAAGAGAAACAAAATTAAAATCACAAAAAATACTGATGAAAAAGAAGGGGTTGAATGTTAACCACTTTCGTTACCATATAACTATAAACTATGATCAAAGTTCATCAGCATGCATTGATTAATACCTAAAAATAAAAATACTGCGACCAAATCATGTGCTCGTGCGAGCAACTGAGAAAGCTAGCCGCAAAAGAGTGACCAGTGGGAAGAATGAGCCCTGAAGCATAAAACAGTTTTATTACATTAGATATTTGATATTTACATTAGATATTTGAACATGCTATTAGATAAACTGTTGTTAAAATCCGGACATCATTTGCAACGTTATTGTTTTAGTTAAACTATTTATGTAAAACTTAAATTATTTGTGTGTCAGTACTTTTTGAACATTTCCAGCAAATTTTAACAATACCGTGATAATACTGATAACCGTGATCATTTTGGTCACTATAATCGTGATAAGAAATATCATACCCTTACATCCCTAATAAAATTTTAAAATTTTGAATATGATTTAAATAACTGAAATTATATGCTAAAAATGAAACTAAATCCTGCTGGCGGTGAGTCACTGATTCACTGATTTAGTCATTCATTCAATTGATTCGTTCGAACGGCCGAATCATTCAGGAATGAAGCAAGTGATTGTCTTTATGAACTGACGGAAAACTTTAATCCCTGGATCCATCGACATGAAAGAGAGAGACGTTTAACTGACGCTTACTCACCAGCGTGCTGACACTGTCACCCAGTAATTATTTATGTCACGGCCAGCGTTCCCTCTAAGCTGCGCGCGCAGGACACACGCAAAGTTGGGAAAGCCGTTTGATTGAATTCTAGTCAATATGAAATAATTGCAGTGCTCGGGCAAACCGCTATAGAGTTAGAGTTGGTGAATGCGGTTTACAGGTTGCATAGAAAGAAAATGATGTGCGCCGAATGAGTCGCTGTAGAAATCGAATACTTTAATGATTGCGGGTGAAACCGCTCAACACGAGAGTCAACGCAAACACAGTGACATGTGAAATAAAACCTCATCGCGCTGAAAGAAGAGAGGCGAGATTAAGTGCTGGAAATAGCGGATGATGAGCACAGAACGGTCACAAAACTCCCAGATATTTACAGTCACACACAGGTGTACTAGTAACTCTACTTCTCTAAACTCTACATAGATAAATATATACGAATACACATGTTCACGTTATTTGAAAATATCTAGCTTACAGATCTCCGTTTAAATGCTTCAGTTTGTTTTCTATTCTGTTCTGTTCTGCTTAAATGCTTCAGTTTGTTTCTATTACATTACATTATATTATATTATATTATAAACCTAATAAATAGTTGACCTCAAAAAGGGAATT